GTAACAGTGTTATAATTATTTGTAGTTATCACCTGTAAGTATTCAATAAATCCAATTACCAAACCGAACCCCGTCTTTAGTCACTGATTCACGTGACAATATGTTATCTACGACACAGATTTTGATGACAATTATGACGAAGTCCATTCGTGATATCTGTAAGATGCTCTGTTGCTAAGCAAGTCCTTGGCTAGTAACAGGTGTTACCAACATGTTCGTTGGCTGCAGTGTGGTTAGGTTAACTGGTGTTGACCCTTACCAGCGAAGTCATTGCTGGTTCCTAGCCACACTGGAATCATGACCCTGTATTAACTGTCAGACGACTCTGTGACTCGTGCGTCTCTGGCCAGAATTTTGAGCTTAGTTACATGTCCGCTGTACCCTCTCGTCTTGCTGTTGGATGGGCAGAATTTATGTTCCATTTTGCTGACGATCCGTCTTCAGATCTTGAACTGAGGATCGGCTATAATGAGTTTTTTTGTGGGGCACGGGATTCCTTGGTCCCAGGTAAATTCCGGGCTAATATTTCAAGTTAGGCCACGGCCGATTTCTTCCACATCCTACTATTCGAAGCTGTTGTCTAGTCAGAGCTACTAACAGGATCCTTCAGTTAACTACAGAGATGAAGAATACTGTGTTGCGGGGTGTAACGCCGTATAGTCCAGTAATAGTACACTGACGTTTCAGAGAAACATCATACATTGATTTAGAGTGTTGAACAGGTAGCCAACAGGAACAAGGCGGGAAGCCACTTCCTTGGCTACTTGTTTCGTGCACTCTTTAACACTCAAGGAGCCGGGTTAGCTCAGTCGGAATAGCGACTGGCTACAGGCTGAACGACTGAGGGGTCGGAGTTCGAGTCCCGGTAGGGTCAAAAATTTTCTATTCTCCAAATCGTCCAGACCGACTCTGGGGTCCACCCAACTTCCTATCCAATTGGTACCGGGGGCGCTTTCCCCGGGGGTAAAGCGGCAGGGGCGTGAAGCTGACCTCTCACCTCCAGCTAGTGCCGAGGTCAAGAAAATGTGGATCTATACATCCATACGCTCATACGCCTTCATGGAGTAGTGCTTAATTAGTTGAGCACAGGGAAAACTTTATATATTTTACTCTTTAACACTGAAGATAATGGCAGTGCTCGGAAATATCGGAGAACTGCCGCCTATCGGAAGATATCGCGTATCACATGTACCGCTGTGCCTCTCGTGACGTATCACATTATAGAGCCGGGATAGCGACTGGCTACGGTCTAGACGACCGAGGGGTAGGAGATCGAGTCCCGGTAGTGTAAACAATTTTTCCTTCTCAATGTCGTCCATACCGGCTTTGAGGCCCGCCCAGACTCTTATTCAATGGGTACCGGGGCTCTTTCCCAGAGGGTAAAGCGGTGGAGATGTGACGCTGACCACTCACCTCCATCTAGTGCTGAGGCCAAGAAAACGTGGGTCTATAAATCCACTCCCTCGTATGTCTTCGCGGAATAGTGCTTAATCAGTTAAGTAAAAAGAAAACTCCGTGGCTTGAGTACGCAAGCGAACTATACCGACCGAGCGACCGCCGCTTATCGACGAAGTTAGTGACAACTTTAGCGGATAGATGGTGTCGCGTGGTTGGCGCAACTATTCTCACGGCCGTTAATCTCGGTTTTCTAGACCGGACTTAAACAGTTAAGTACCGGGACAAATTTATGTTTTTTTTTGGCGTATCATATTGTTGTAAAGAGATAACACTTGCAACAGATCGCAGACCCAGAACGATAGTAAGTCAATTAAAAATGAAAGAAAAGTATTTATTGCACTATTCGGAGGCTAAAGTTGCTTCTAATATGGCACAATATAGCCCAACTTTAGTTCCCGTTCTCCCGAAAAATATTACTTTTGTTCTTAGCTAGGGTGTCTTTCACTAGAACTGGTAGATGCAGCATGCCTCTGTCACGTGTACGGATGCTCCAAAGGAAGTAAGGGAGGCGGGAAGAGGCAGGGAAACAAAGAAAATACAGCGGTGCAAAATGTAGCACTGTAGAATGTTGGTTGTCAGTTAATGGGAGTGCGCTGTTACATGTGTTTGCACATGAAGAATTAAGCATGAATCTACAAAGCTGCATTACAATTATGTGATAATTAGATACCCGTCGCACTGTGCTCTAAAGGCGGGGGCACGCGGTACCGTAGTTGGTTGAGCCACTATGCTACAAGCCGGAAGGTCACGGGTTCGATTCCCGATGAGGTAATTGGATTATTCAATTCACCTAATCCTTCCAGCCGCCCTACGACCCTGAGATCAACTCACCCCCTAACAGAAATGAGTTCTGGGAATCTTCCTGGGAATAAAAGGCTGCCGGTGCATAAGTCAGACAACCTCAACGCCATCTGTGAGCCGATTGTCTAGAAAATATGAGAACCTCGACGTCTCACAACCTTATGGCCCGTCACGACCTCTTACAGGGATAGCTTTACTTTTGTACCTTTATTGTACTCCAAAGGCTGCAACCCACAGCTGTATCCCAGAGGAAGGGGAACGTCCGCCTTTGAAGCCGCTACCAAGCAACGGCTACTGAAGATTAACAGACTGAGAGGACCTAGTGTGTCCTCTAGTGATTTGTCAAGTGTGTAGAACAGTGAGAGCATAATCCTTACTTGTAGGTACGTTTTGTAAGAGTTCCTTAAATCCGATTACCAATCCAAACGGCGTTTATAGCCACTAAGAACGTGACAGTATTAATCCACGAGTTTGTTTATGCAAATCTATGCTTTACTTCTGCATCACTATGCACTGAGCAGATGCGAACTTGAAACAACGCAGTTCGCTTTCCGTTGCTTCTGCATAGTGCTTTTAAAACGCTAACACAATGTTAAGTAGAAAGTAAAGTTGTCCCTGTGCTTAATTAATTATTCACTATGCCTTGAAGACATATGGGAGAGTGGATATATAGTTCCACATTTCTGACCTTGGCACTAGATGGAGGTGAGTGGTCAGCTTCACGTCCGGCCTCTTTACCCCCGGAGAAAAAGCCTCCTGCACCCATTGAGTGGGACCGACAACCGGTATGGACGGGACTCGAATACGGGCTGTCTAGCCCGTTGCTCATGGCTATACCGACTGAGTTATCGTGACCCCTTTCTTGCAAGCATTAATTCCCATATGTAATTTAAAAGGTTAAGGTACAAACAGATATTCAAGGGAAAATAGTGACTTAGCTTTTTGGCATAACATTTTCGTAAGCAATATGCTTATGTGTTGATAGTCACCACCAATTTTTTTTATGTGGGGTTAAATTAAGGACAGTATCTACCGTCGTTAAGTGGACGTGCGAAGTCTGGTAAGGTAAAGTCGGTAAAGTCCCCTATGCTCAACGAATTAAGCACTACGCCATGAAGGCGTATGGGGGAATGGATGTATAAATCCACATTTTCTTGACCTCAGCACTAGCTGGGTACACTATGTACACGTAAAGGGACGGTTTATGGTTGAGTATTTGTGAGTGTTATTCGTGAGAGATGTCTGTACACGATACATTTTCTTGTAGGAATTGAGTTGCTCACAGCGGTGACTAAGAAGGGTACTGTCGCCACTCATGCATGAACAGTGACTGAAATAACTTTAAAATCTTAGTTCCATATTTGTCCACTAGTTAGTACTGCCAACGGCAAAAGTTCTTTTACAGAAGCATGCCCCGAAAGAAAGTTTTTTAGTTATTTACTATTAAAAACAAAACCAATAACATAACTTCTCAAAACGGAACCGATGGTCTAACATTTTAAAAACAGGACCAAATGCCTAACTTTGTGGACTTGCAGGAGACAGATTCTGAGATCAAGTCTGATTTTTTAAGATAAACTTTGTTAGCTTGGTAGCGCTGATGTGGTGGGACCATATGGTGATCATTTTTAAATTTAATTTGATCACACGCTAATGCGTTAAACGCCTTGCTGATTTCTAGGATGTGACGCCATATAGTTTAGTAGAATTTCACAGACGTATCGTCATATTAAAAGGGCCGTGGATGCCCATAGGGTTGTGAGACGTCGAAACTCCCACATTTTCTAGACAGTCGGCTCACAGATGTTGGTGAGGTGAGCCTAACCATAATTTATATTACACGGAGCAAAGTATTTATCAGATATATGAAATGCACCGTTCATGACATTAGAGCCTTAAAATGTGAACTACGAAATAATATTTAAAAACTCAGTTTTTCCTTCTCACAGACGTTGCGTGTCCATTACAGAGACCATTCACCTATTGGTGTTTAAGAAAAAAATCACTGTTGATGATGAGAATGATACGGCACCTATAAATGTACTGTATCATCAGAATTAAAGAGTTCTTTTAATGTTAAAGCCGACGGTACTGTTTTTAAAAAAGGTTAAGATACCAACTTAAACCTACTTGGAGCCGCGATAGCGCAGTCGGTATAGCGAGCGGCTACGGGCTGGACAACCGAACGGTCTGGGTTCCAGTCCCGGTATGGTCAATAATTTTCTCTTCGCATCGTCCAGACCGGCTCTGGGACCCGCCCAGCCTTCTATCCAATGGGTGCAGGGGGCTCTTTCCTCGAGGGCAAAGCGGCCGGGATGTGAAGCTGATCACTCACCTCCAACTAGTGACAAGGTCAAGAAAATATGGATCTATACATCCACTCCCCATATACCTTCATGGCATATTGCTTAATTAGTTAAACATAGGGACAACTTTACTATCTTTACTTTTACTTAAAGCTGCTTAAAATGTAAAGTTGACTTGTGATGCAACTGTTAAGCACCACGCCATGAATAAGTATGGGGAGGTGGTATAACTGCCCCAAACAAAATTTTAAAACTTGGAGCATAAAATTGTGATCAACAACATACTTATACATTAACGAATCATAGAATAAACCGCATATTTTTACGTCACACAAATATAAATTCTAGGAGTAGAGTAGAGTAACAGGTCCAGACACACTTCTAAGACATGATCACTTTTTAACCCAGTGCACAAATTACAATAAAGTACCTTACTGCAGGAACACACAGCTCAGGACTGCGCCTGTTGTCAACTCAAGTGTCACTGCGAGACTATGGACTCTGGTCCGTGATGACACACAGCACAATGGAGCATTATCTCGAGGAGAATGTTAACACTCGCAACCAATTGACATAGCCCCTCGAGTGTCTGTTAGGATAATGACTTTATTGAAAGGTTAATGCTTTTGTTTAAAGCTCTAAATCGATGAATACAGCCATGCGGGGGGGGGGGGTTGGCGGAAATCAGTCATTTATATAGCCTTGTGCAAGTTCCTGTTAAAATAATGTCATTGTAGAACGGTTTATGCTCTTGTTTAGGGCTTCAAAGCGATGGAACCAGTCACCTGAGGGCGGGAATCAGTAATTTCTAGCCTTGTGCAAGTTCCTGTTAAAATAATGTCCTTGTAGAACGGTTTATGTTCTTGTTTAGGGCTTCAAAGCGATGGAACCAGTCACCTGAGGGCGGGAATCAGTAATTTCTAGCCTTGTGCAGGTTCCTGTTAAAATAATGGCCTTGTAGAACGGTTTATGTTCTTGTTTAGGGCTTCAAAGCGATGGAACCAGTCACCTGGGGGCGGGAATCAGTAAGATTTAGCCTTGTGCAAGTACCAATTAAAATAATATACTTGTAGATCGGATAATGTTTTTGTTTAGGGCTCGAAAACGATAGAACTGATCACCTTAGGGCGGACATTTGTCAACGTGGGGGGGATAGCTTCACCTTTTTCTTTTCACGTCTCCGTGTTGTTTCATTTACCCTAATACTCTTGAAATATGGCAACTGCCTTTCTCAGCCGGTGGGGCTTGACGGTAGGCTTGGTAAGGTGCGAAGCTCCGAAAACAAGGACTTCCACTACGGGTTAATGTAACACTAAAATGTATACAACTGTAGTAGTCGATTTCCTGGAAAACGAGGAGCTTCGGTTTAAATATGGTTGGACTGTACTGTTGTTGACAAACTGAGAATCAGTGTCCTGCAGCAGGTTCTGGATCCACTAGAAGACAAAAATGTGCATGTGACCACCCGCAGATTTTGAAATTAAGAACGTTAGAGTTCGGTAGTGTACTCCGTCTTTCGAAAGACAGTGCGTGTATATATATATACATTTTAATACACTTATTAGTCGACTTACGACCGACTTCCGTTCTGACAGGTCGTATGTCGGCCATATATTTATTAACTGTATTTTTTAATATTTTTATCATCTTTATAATTTATTTTTAAAAACTTTTACATTTTAATCATCTTTTATTTTTCATTTCTTTTTTGGTCGTAAGTCGACCTTACCTTATTATAAGAATCAGTATGAAAAAATATAAATACACTTTTTCTTTAACATTTTCTCAAGCAATGATTTTCCCGAGTTCTGTTTGAATTGGACGCATTTCTGCCATGCTAGAACGCTCTTTCCTTAGAGTTCAATGCTATTTACTTAGTTCAAGTGGCTCCGTTCCCTCTCTCTCTTCAATCTGATCCTACAGATTATGTTATCGGTCTTTTATGTTGCAATATACTGATTTAACTTCTTTTGTTCTTTGCTTTGCGTTACTTTTATATTCGCTTGAGGTGTAACCTTTCCCGTGCAGTTTGTATTAAGGAAACCTTCTTTTGGTATACGAGTACTCTGCTAGTAACATATGAGCATATGGGTATTGTCAGTTGTTGAAAACATACAAAGAATTAGTTCTCACAGTACTCAGATGTCTACAGATAGGATATGAGGTTCTCACAGCGGTGATTAGAATTTTTTTTTAATTCGCTTCGTGGGGGGCTGGAAACCAAGTGGGTCCACTCCGCACGGCGGCCACTGATTGACCTATTGTACCTGCTCCGGGTGATTATGATAATGGAGAATTTGGTGGAATGAAGATTGGCAGGGGAAACCGAAGTACTGGGAGAAAACCTGCCACAGCGCCACTTTGTCCACCACAAATCCCACTTGACCAGACCCCAGGATCGAACCCGGGCCGCCGCGGTGGGAAGCCAGCGACTAACCGCTTGAGCTATGGCGCGGCCTGGTTAAATGTGTTTATATTTACTGGGATATAACGCAGTGTAATCCGTTGACAGTCAACTGACGTTTCGAAGTAACATGTAGCAGAGCTGTTTGCTACCTGCCCCACGATGGTTTCATGATTCTCTCGCTGATGGACTATGAAAGTGGAGGCAGTATGTTCCTCCGAAACGTCAGAGTCCTTAAGGTGTCTCGTGTGTAGCATTAAAGTGGTTGTCTCCGAAAGAAAATACATTTCTTAACATGACCAAATTGAAACCTGGCCCAATGGCGGTGTGGGCAACTCGATACAAAATAAGCCTGTGTTGTGTTGATAGTGAAATCTATTTTTTATGATTTCGCTTACATGTCCATAATTAACAGATGTTATTTTTACTTGGTAAACAGCTTTACACGGTGTGGTACCTGCTCCATCGCTCGAAATCTAATCTTCTTGTTGTCTCTCTAATCTTGTTGTCTTGTACATGAAACGGCTTTTATATGCTGCCGAGTCCCAGTGATGTCAATGTGTGATTGAAAGCATTACGAGTTACGTAATGAGGGGAATATCGTGTCACATATTCAGCATTTACTGCGACAAGTGAAGCGCAAACTACGAAAGAGTCAGTGAAAGGGTCAGAAATGGAAGTAAAACAGCTGTAATGGACGTAACAGGTTATGTGTGTGTGTCACTAGGTAGCAGCACAGTCTAGCTTCATGACGGTCTAGGTAGAGACGCGAATTCGCATCTTCAGAGGTTAGTTTCAAAAGCTAAAATGGCGACCGCGCCTGAGGGTATACTACCGAAGTGCACTGTTCTGTAGTGCATTTTTAGTGGGAAAGAAGACTCAACTCAAAGAAAAATTATAAAGAAATGTTTCCTCTTTACGGTGGGAAGTGTTTGTCGCGTAAATCGATTCACAACTGGGTAGCAGACATTTCGTTGATGACGTGAAGAGGTTGTAACGAAACTGCGGAAGTAGAAAGACTTCCATGCTGCGGGTTTCGACGCAATGATAAAGCGATGGGGCAAGTATCTTAACAGCAGGCAATGGTACCCCTCAGTTACTGACTGATGCACACGTGTCTACCGCACAAACTTAACCTAACCTGACTTAGCCTAGCCTAATCTAACCTAACCCAACCTAACATAACCTAATCTAACTTAACCTAGCCTAGCCTAGCCTAGCATCGCCTCGTCTCGCCTCACGTGATGTTACGTCAAGTCACGCCAAGTCACGCCAAATCACGCCAAGTCACATCACGTCACTTCACCTCACCACACCTCACCTAATTTAGCAGGGAATGGCAATCCTTAGTTACTGATTCATGCGCACAAATCTACTGCGCAAACGTAACCTAACCCAACCCAGCCTAACCTAACCTAACCTAACCCAACCTAACTTAACCTAACCTGACCTACCCTGACCTAACATAACCTAACCTACCCTACCCTAGCCTAACCTTGCCTCACTCCGTCTGGCTTCGCCTCACTTCCAGTCACGCCAAGTCACGCCAAGTCACGTCACGTCACCTCACCTTACTTCAAATCACCTCACATCACCTCATCTATCTTAACAGCAGGGAATGGTACCCCTCAGTTACTGATTGATGCGCACGTGTCTACCTCGCAAACTTAACCTAACCTGACCTAGCCTAGCCTAATCTAACCTAACCAAACCTAACATAACCTAATCTAACTTAACCTAGCCTAGCCTAGCCTAGCCTAGCCTAGCATCGCCTCGTCTCGCCTCACGTGATGTTACGTCAAGTCACGCCAAGTCACGCCAAATCACGCCAAGTCACATCACGTCACTTCACCTCACCACACCTCACCTAATTTAGCAGGGAATGGCAATCCTTAGTTACTGATTCATGCGCACAAATCTACTGCGCAAACGTAACCTAACCCAACCCAGCCTAACCTAACCTAACCTAACCCAACCTAACTTAACCTAACCTGACCTACCCTGACCTAACATAACCTAACCTACCCTACCCTAGCCTAACCTTGCCTCACTCCGTCTGGCTTCGCCTCACTTCCAGTCACGCCAAGTCACGCCAAGTCACGTCACGTCACCTCACCTTACTTCAAATCACCTCACATCACCTCATCTATCTTAACAGCAGGGAATGGTACCCCTCAGTTACTGATTGATGCGCACGTGTCTACCTCGCAAACTTAACCTAACCTGACCTAGCCTAGCCTAATCTAACCTAACCAAACCTAACATAACCTAATCTAACTTAACCTAGCCTAGCCTAGCCTAGCCTAGCCTAGCATCGCCTCGTCTCGCCTCACGTGATGTTACGTCAAGTCACGCCAAGTCACGCCAAATCACGCCAAGTCACATCACGTCACTTCACCTCACCACACCTCACCTAATTTAGCAGGGAATGGCAATCCTTAGTTACTGATTCATGCGCACAAATCTACTGCGCAAACGTAACCTAACCCAACCCAGCCTAACCTAACCTAACCTAACCCAACCTAACTTAACCTAACCTGACCTACCCTGACCTAACATAACCTAACCTACCCTACCCTAGCCTAACCTTGCCTCACTCCGTCTGGCTTCGCCTCACTTCCAGTCACGCCAAGTCACGCCAAGTCACGTCACGTCACCTCACCTTACTTCAAATCACCTCACATCACCTCATCTATCTTAACAGCAGGGAATGGTACCCCTCAGTTACTGATTGATGCGCACGTGTCTACCTCGCAAACTTAACCTAACCTGACCTAGCCTAGCCTAATCTAACCTAACCAAACCTAACATAACCTAATCTAACTTAACCTAGCCTAGCCTAGCCTAGCCTAGCCTAGCATCGCCTCGTCTCGCCTCACGTGATGTTACGTCAAGTCACGCCAAGTCACGCCAAATCACGCCAAGTCACATCACGTCACTTCACCTCACCACACCTCACCTAATTTAGCAGGGAATAGCAATCCTTAGTTACTGATTCATGCGCACAAATCTACTGCGCAAACGTAACCTAACCCAACCCAGCCTAACCTAACCTAACCTAACCCAACCTAACTTAACCTAACCTGACC